TATAAAAACAAAGGACAAAGATAACTGGCTATATGCCAACTGGTCTGATCAAAACTTAAGATCCAAGTCATATGTGGCATGAAAAGGGTTGAAATATATGCCTATTAATTTTTTTTCCTGCTCCATGTAGAGCTCTGTAATTCAGATAACCTGTATGTCCAGCGATATCCATCTCCAGAAAGCACAGAATTAACGTGCAATAAAAAAGGGATATGTTCCTTATCAGACTCGGATTAAGGGGCCATTTACATCAAAGTCCTCCTTCATCATATCTTTACAAATGTTCTTCCTCATCTCTGTTATGATGCTGGTACTTATTTCTTGACACAATGCCCCATCTAAGCCCTTAGCCTGTTCTGACCAATGTGGGCAAATAACACACATTACTTTCACATTTTCAATGCAATAGTTTCAGAAATAAAATATGACAAAAATCATAAATGTGACGCATGACTGTGGCAACTTGCTCCTAGTTAATATTGAAATGACAGTGGGAACATTTTAAGAATGTCGTTGTTGCAGGCACGTGTTTTGAAAACTAAAGCTGTGCTTCGCACTCTCCTCTGTTTCACGTCCAATTCTTACAGCTAAATAAACAAGATAATGCCCACAAGTAAAGAACCCTTCATGTATTTATGATCATTCTACTTGTGTGGATAAATCTGACAACATTCTGTAAATTTAATCCCTAGGTAATACAGTGATTGCGAAAAGGCAGCCACTGATGGGAAATTCTTTTAATACTAATATTCCAATGCGCTGTGTGTATTTGTCATCAATACCTTGGCAATGCAGATTTAGTGCTGCTATCTCACACCTCTTGACTTGCGTCTATGTACTTCAGTTTCCTCACACATCCTAAAGACATGTGGATGTCTGGTCTAAACTTCCCCTTTTTCCATCACCCTGTGCAGTCATTAGCTCCAGCTTCCAGCAACCCTCCCCAGATATCCAGCTTTCTGATGACGGATAAAAATCTGCCAACTTAGTGCTTACAAATACGCTGTATAACACAGGGGGAGGTCTAGTGACATCCGACACATTCACAGTGAGACAAAGAATAAGAAAAAAAAGGCATAATAGCTATTGGCTATTAGCAAAAGTATTGATTCCTTCATTAGGAAAAAAAACACTGAATCTTCCAAAAAAAACAAACAAGGAAGAGTTTGAAATTATGTCATCCAAAAAACTCTTCTGTACGTTACCTTAGGCGTAGTCGGTATTGTTTACATGAACAGCACACACATGGTGCAATCTATATCATGTGTCCAACCGTAATGAAAGACAAGAGTGACAAAATAGGCTGTGAAAAGCTGATTTTATCCAAGCCTAAGACGAGTTGTGCTTTTTGTCAGTTTTAATACAAACACAAAATAACAAAACAGAGCTCATGTTCTATTCTTGATTACTACAGAAAAGGCATGGAAGAACTATAATTCAGAGGGCTTTTCCAACACCATTGATCAATTCCTTAAACAAAAATCTTTGTATTTTCTATTGAGTCATCAAGCAAGGACTTTCTTCCGTTATTGTACAAAATCATTACTCTGAGCTGCTTAAATGTTTGGAGAAAATGATTTTGAGAAAATCCCTAATCTAATAATTATTTCTAATTCTGTGGAGTTCTCTGGGTCGGATGATATAGTTTATTCCTAATGCACCTTGTCCTTGTATCTCTTTATCCTGATTAAAAACAAAGACAGTACAAAAAAAGTAGCACACCGTATAAATCATGAGCAGATGTATGAAAGACAATTTAGCCTTTCACAAATGCTATACAAACTACAGAGATTCACACAAAAACATGAATAAAGAAAGAAGTATGCGAAAAATAAAGTCTGTAATGGACAACTTCTAAAACAATTTGGACATTGAATCAATGAATCAATGAATCAAGGAAATAATGAATAAAAAAGCATCTATGCATTCATTACATACATCTCTTTTATGGTATAATTGGACTATATCTTTTATACAGTCCAAAGTCAGGTATTTTTAGTATTAACATATTAACATATTAAGCATTTCGGAGGCCAATGAGCATCTATTTTTTTCTCCTGCAAGCACTCACGGTTTTTACTTATACCTTTTATATAACAGATCAGAAAACAACATTCAGAAAGCAAGGCTTTCTAAGCCTAATGAAACGGACTTAATACGCACTGCACAACACACAGACTGGACCACTCTGAGTAACGCTGTCTAGCTGGTGTGTGGCCCGTCACAAAAAGAAAAGAGAAGTGGACAGGCAAAATTGTCTCCTTAGCAGAGCTCCACTGTCCCCTGTCCCTCCATACTATTAGTATGAAGGACCCTTAGCTCACTGCCCTCAATAGGTAAGATTAATTAATCATTTCATGTTCAGCAACACTGGAGAAAATGCCAGCTTCCAACATTTCACTTGACAAGGACATCATTTGATGTTCTCGATCAGAAAATTTGAATTTGCAGCACATGGAAAGTTATCTTCTCTAAAGGAGAACTTTACATTAAACAGTTCCCACATCAAAACACTTAGGATGACATTTTTTATTCAAAGAAGGAATATTTTAGCAATTCAAAGTGCGCTGATAGTCTCAGAACGTCTGGGAGTCTAGATAGACAAGGATTTCATTTAAATAGGAGGGGGGTAGGGTTTTTTGTAGAAAATGTTAGTTTCATTGTGACTTTAATAGGCTTTTTTTAAAATCATTCTCTTGTCATGAAAAATATAAAGTTTGAAATGAGAGAGAAAAAAGTAGCTTTTCTATATTTTTAAGAAGTTGGGGAAATGGGTAATTCTGTGGCACACTGAATAGAATAGTCATGTAGAAGCAATGGCTGAGGTAATTAATTGTTAAGCACTGAAGGTACTTATATGCCCAAATGGTAGTGTTACAGCACAAAATGACATGTCTATGTTCTGAGACTGAAGACAAGCTGAAATGTCTTTACAGCGAGGTAAAGATTTCACAACAGGGCCTATTAAGACAGGAAAAATCCATTTAATTGTTAAATGAATGGACAGAAAACGAACAACATTCTGTCCATTAAAAGCTAGATAATTTAATGATGTGCTGCTTTGTAAAGGCGGTAGTATCAGTGCAAAACCAGTTTGAAGGCAATCTCTGCATACCTAGTCTACATCTCAGAAAAAGAGAAAATACCTGCCACATAAGATCATTTCAAAGACATAGTAAGCAGATTTACTTACCTTGAGGTGTCTGTGTCACAACAGCTCAACTTCCAAAACAACTATTTATTGGTTTAATTGGAGAATACTAACAACCCCTCCTCCTTCTTCAAGTGCACCAGCCAACTGTGTCCCTTAAATTAAAGGGTACTAGACAAAGCTGGTGAACAAACTGAAGTCAACAGCCTATTTAAAGAATTCAATACTTGAGGTATTTATGACTTGAGGGGGTTTGTGCAGGGAGTCCTGGAGGGTCACAGTTCAGCAGGCATTTAATGCTACTTAAACCACCAGTGACCAGTTGCACAAAACCCCCTTAGGGTCAACCTTAGGGTAACTAATGGATATGTCTTAAGGCAGATCATTAGCTACTTCACGTGGCAATATGCAGCCTGTATTCCAACTCTTATTATAAAAGGTATGTCTCTCTTACCGATTATATCACCTTTTCTACATAAAGTAGAATGCAAGAACAGTAGCATCATTTAGTCTTTTTGTTTTAAGACTGAACACAGACTTATGACTCTTTCTATTCCCAGAGAGTTCTGCCTCTGATACAGATATATATTCTACACCTCTCTATTACAAGTAGGTATCACTGGCCTTTTGTGCTAAATTAAAAAAAGAGCGTCATAGCCTTTTAGCGCTTCTTTGCAATTTTAATGAAGCGACTTGACAGTTTGCCAACAATTATAATAAACCTTTTTAAAAAAAGACATTGTTTCCTAAGTAATGAGTATGTGATGCCTGTTTTACAAAGAGATGTTTTTGAAAATGAAAAGTCAGACAAATGATAAAATAGCTACTATGATATATGTTATACAGATCTGGAATGACAAACGTAAACTTGAACTTGATGAGCGTGTGGGGAGGAACCTCTCTTGCCAGATGGATCACTTCCTTTCATTTCTCCTACTCCTGTCTCTGTGCAGGACAATCAATATGATTCCCACAGCTGGTCTTCAGTTCTCAGTGTTCATTACCCTACCTGCAGAAGCTTTCCCTAGAAAGTCACCTGCGTAACCAAATATTTGCTTCCTGCGGTGTTAGCAAAAAACAATTGTACTGGTTATACAGTACATACACAAGATACTTTATTCTACTTTGTGTATGTCTAGTCTGAGAAAGAACAGACAAGGTATGGTTTAATAACACTTTATGAGACTGGTGTAAAATGTAATGCTTCTTCCAAGCGAAGCCCATTATGATAACACACTCAGTTATGAGGAATGAATAAGCATGACAAGAGGAATGAATGCATAAATAAAATGACAAACCGGGTCCTTTCCTAAGCCTGCATTTCTCTTTTTCAGGCGTGTCTGGGTCTGCAGAGATCAGGAAGGCATCCTTCCTCAAGAGTGTTTCGAAGGCAGTTTGAAGCCCACATCACACGAATGGGGCAGAGTCACGAATCACAGCCCTTACGATTGAGAGAGGGCTTACAATGAGAGGACACATCAAGACGACAGGAATTATTTTAAAGAAAACCCTTTTTTAAAATGGGAAAAAGCCATCACCAAGGCCCAGACAGATTCTGAAAACATACTGATCCCTTGCAGCAGACCAGTAGTTACCACAGAGCTGCATCTGGTACTTACTTCAGATGGCAGGAGGGATCTCGATGCGTGCACTAATTTAGCCCCCTCTTGTTTGGTTTTTATTAAGCCAAATTAGAGGAGAGAAAGAGGTAATTTGTCTTCATCAATCCAGAATGCACAGCCCTGCCACTCACCCTCTCCACCCCCACTTCACACCACCTTCCACAGCTTTTCCCTGGAGCTGTTCCCCTGCGCTCAGCGCTAAGGCAAGACTGGTTTGATCACAGTACCTTCCAGTTAGGCCCCAGGGGTCCTCTGCCAGTCTTGATGGATTGAAATAAGGCCGGGTCCTCGTCAGCTTTGTAATCCTGCAAGAGAAAACAAGGGTGGCGGTGAGAAAGCCAAGCCTGGTCATAGCTGTGAAGTGAGTGAACTGAGCTCGCTCACTCATACGTTTAACGGGGAACAATGCAGCACATAATTCTACTCCCCTGTCGTTGTTTTTAAGGCCAAAAAGTGGACAGTCTTCGTCATGCATCAGATTTTCTCAATTCCCCTGTGCTAACCTTGGCACTGGAGAGCAACAGTCTTCCTAGTTTTCAGTTCAACCAAGCTCACAGCAACTTAACTTGCGGTGTCACGATCATTTCCAAAACGACATGCAAGATGCAACAGCTACAGATAAGAGTGTCATGAAAGGGAAGTGTCCACTACAGAGTCAGCTTAAATAACAAAACTAGCATTTTGACTACACTGGTCCATATGGAACCAAAAGCAGAGTATGTGCAGTGTGCTCTTCAAGGCACCTCCTTCAGGGAGCTTGAGCAGTAGACACCTGGATGGCAATATGACAATAACCTCTTGTTAAACTGGACTGTGGGGCAGCTGGACTCGCCACAGCACAGGAAAGACCTGTTACATCAGACACCACAAGAGTGATAATAGACCGACAGGGTAGAAATAAAGATAGTAAGAGTTAGAACTTTTAACTTATTGAATTCTTAGCATGCGTTTATAAAAAAAAGTCAGGGACACTCCAAGCAATCTTGAAAAGAGAGGTAAGGATTATACAGTATGTGTGCATGTTTAAAAAAACCTTTTAGAAAACAAGCTGGTTGTGTGACTGCAGATCCAGGAATGTCCGGTTGTTTTTCCCCCCCATCCTGCTGCTCTGACAGCACTTTATCCGGACACACCAGGAAGATGTGACTTGAATCTGACTTCTTTCCAAAAACATTAAACACGTGAATCATGCTTATCCTCACTGAAGAAGCACCATAGCTCCCAGTGCTAGGGAGTCTAAACACATCTGGGTGAACGTTACTGTGCTGGAAAATAACACACACCGAAGTAGATAAAAACGAACACGTTTTGAAATCTCAGAACGGATCTCCTACAAGAGGTTTTGTGGTGCGTTTGAACTGGCCCTGCATGGGCATGAAGAAACAATCATTCATGAACCTGAACCTCTGAGTGTTTCAGGGCCTGGTGGAGCTGGCAGCCTATATGGACAGAGCTGTGTACAAGCAACAGAAAACAGACGGTGTGTTTAAATAACATTGCTGTTCAAGCAAATAAAGATGTTTTTTGTTCACAGAAATGGAACTGCAATTGAAGTATACTGACTTGGAAATTAAAATCATTATAATAGTTTTGTAACAGGTGTAGTATGGCGAGGTACTAAAGAACAGAGCGCGTGGGACTTCATGCCGGCATTGCTGATCATTTACAAATACAAGACATACAATATTTGGCAAAATGTCATAATCACACAACAGTTTTGGTGACGATAAATTACAGGTTCAAAAGCAAAACAAAGTTAAACACAAGAAAGGTATGAAACATGTTGTGCCCCTCTACCTGCTCTCAGAAGTCACCAGCCATGCCCAGTCATTATTTAAGACCAATGTAATTATCAATCACAGAGGGCTGTTGCTGGGGTACCTAACTCCTATCCTGGTTCCAAAACCAAGACAAAGCCATCTTCTGGGAAGAAAGTGAGTGCCACTCAGTCTGTTTTAATTGATTGATTAAGCTTATTTGAACCCTTTACAAGTGCCCGTGAATCGGAGGATGTCAAACATACAAGAGAAAGAGTCTTGCTTCTTTGTGGAAAAACAGTTCATTTTAAATTTCCTACTGCTGTGAGGCCAGTGAGAGGTTGAAAATTCCTTTTGAGTTGTACAGGAAAGTCCGAAAAGGTGCTGCGCGGATAGCTGGTATTTACTGAGCAGCTCACGGTGAGCAAGACGAGACTGCTGCAGAACAGTCATTGGTTCTGTACCCACAGGGCACTGTCTCCCGGTGTACGGAGCCCAGTGACATTAACAATGACTGATCACACTACACAGAAGTGTGCATATATTACACCAGGCAGGACTCGTGCCAGCTTGTGCATTTTCAAGAACAACAAACAAGGCACAGTGGTGGAGTAATGAGGAAATTATGCAGGCCTAAACCTTGCACAGGAACATACCCACTTAACTGTGCAAATTAAAGTTCTCGAGGAAAAGCATGAAGCACTCGAATGCAATGGCAGTACAAAAGAGCACATTCATGAAATTATTTTTAAAGCGAAACCAAAGGTTCTAAGGTCTGAGATGTGGAAGGACTATAAAGGGTTTGTTATATAAAGGGTCACCTAAGGGGAACAGGTAAATGTGAACAGAAAAGAATGTCAAATTCTGGCAAGATGAGCTACAGCTGAGGAGAAACAGGTTTTCTACCAAACTTTCTTTACTTGTTTTTCCTGAAGCTTTCAAGAGAGGGAGCAATAGCATTGACACTCTTCCCTTCTTTCTGCACTGTGTAAGTTATATTCAAACTAGGATAATTTAAATGGCAATTATCATTGGTTATGGTAATTCCACAATTTGTTTCTTACATTTCAGGATGTGTTTTACAAAACCAAGTCCTTATCTGTACCTGCATACAAGTTACATGATCCCCTTTATGTACAGTATATTAATGTGTATACAATTATATATACAAACACACAAACATTCCAAATATATCAGTACTTGGGTTGGGCAAAATACTTATTACACCCCTACCAACATGATAGAGGGGCTATGAAATTATCCTGAATTCTTTTTTACAGCTGTGCTTCATACTCATGGTGTGTGTTATACAAGGAATATTATGCACACAAAAATCTAAAAATGGTGGACATTTACTGTTCTATTAATGGAACCTTGAGATGAAAAAATGTATGTGCATTTCAAGTAGCTCTTACATCCTCTGTTGCATTACACTTAAAGACCTCAGACAGCCAGCCCAGCTTTTGTATTTGATTCATTGGTGAGTGACAGTACGTAGGCTGCTTTAACAGTAAAGATGATGATACCATCTGATGGGATTAAAACACAGATGGATTAGCTCACAATATATCAGAAAGCAAAAAAAAATATCTAAAGAATTTCAATTTGCCAGCAAAAGAGCAACTGAAAACATGTAAAAGGCTGGAATTTAGTGCATCTACTGCAAATATTTCTCTAATGGTGCCTAAACCGCTATGCTAATGAGAACACTTGCTTGGATCTGCAACACATTTTATAAACTGCTTTATAAACTGTAGTTTAAGATACCAAAGGACTGGTTCTGTCCGACTGAATCCCAGTGAAGGTTAAACTCAAAACATAAGTGAGTCTTTTCTGTTTTTATTATTAGTAGGCTACACTTTCCACCCTGGGCTCCAGTTTCCAAGTTTCTCTCCGACAGGGATTCACAGCCTGAAACAGCACTTCACCAGTCTGAGATGCAGACCTGCAAGAAAATTCAGTCCCAATATTCAAATAATTGACACAATGATCCTTTACTGCAGAAAACAAGGTCTGATCATTATGTTGCTCTTTTAGCACTTGAGGTCCAGTTTTCCCTATGGGTAAACAGTAAACAAATTCCTCATTTAATTCATTTATTTTGGAGTGGGCAGATTACCCACTGTTTTCCCTCACAGGGGAAATAAATAACCATATCACCTCCCCTGGCCAGGAAAACACATAAATGCCACCAGTCTGCTAACGCTCATGTAAATTTGCCATTAAGATGTTCTTGAAAATCAAACACCATCAAACATTGGAGTTCCAGGCAAGCCAAGCAAACTCCTGCTTCAAATCTTCGGAAAAGACACGAAAATTGGAGAGACGTGGGCAAATGAACCCACCGAACGGTACTCGGTACTTATTTGTTCCCCGGTTATGACTGTAGAGTGTTTATTAAAAATAAAAAGAGCAGCAGGGACGTACCGAGACAGCCCCGCTGGTCTCGTTAATATTCTGTCTCCGTGAGGGGCAGCGGGGGGCTGGGGAGAGTGCAGGGTTTCGGAGCCCCGTGGCTCTCGGTTCACGGTTCTTGCCACCAGCTGCAGATTTCTCATCTCATTAGCCAAGCGGAGAGCGGAGTGCGAGAGGACAGCTGCCGCCCTCGTCAGCGAGAGGCCCCAGCTCTGGGCAGGAGGGGGGGGGCGGCGTACCCTGCCCTCCCCATAACCCTGCAGCCACTCACCTCACTCCACCACCGGCCAGTAAAGAAGAATCACACTCCCGGAAACAGGAGGAAAACAATGCTCAGCGGTACTAAAGCTACAGCAGGGTTGTAAACTGTAATTGGAGGTTAGATATCAGGTGTTAGCCTGGCAGGCCAGAGCCTTTAGAAGGGCCAGGTCAGGCCAGCAGTGCTTTAACTCTTTCCCTGCCTGAAAGGCAAGGAAAGCCAGAGCAATGCATGAACAAAATCATTATGGTGACTCACTGGGATTTTCCTAGTATGGCAAATGGGGAAAAAAAAAAACTGTATGCAATCTGAAATCTGACAGAGCATACAAACATGCACTCATCACAAGCATAAAAATGAAAACCACACTGCAATGTCTGAATTTTGCAACAGTGGTGAGGGGGACTGAAAGTGCGCAAAAGAACTACGAAAGAGCATAAAATTCAAACTTTTTTTCCTGCAAAATTAACATCTTGGAAATGCACTGTTAAAGGTAGACAAGATCTTAATTGCAGTCTTCGTACTAAGCCTGCAACACTCACCACACAATCGGCTCTGGCAACTGGTGATACAGTCACCAAAGTGTTGCCATGGCAATTTTTGCTTCGCACACTTTCCAGACCAGGATATGTTGCATTTTTGCCTGTCTCGCTTGGTTCTCCTCAGAATTGGTGTACAGTATTGGGAAGAAAAGAAGGCAATTATGTGTAAAAGACTATTGTTAAATATAAAGGCGTGTAAATAAGTACTTTTCTGTAGTGTTCAACGATCCATTTTTTACCTCACTTTGAGTTCAAGCTTTAAAAGTCTTGACAATATAATTCATTTGCACTCTGCCATTTATTTTCTTAAAGATCTTGTACCTTGCTGTACC